GTTGTTAGAGCTGGAGACAGGCAGGAGTGCCTTGTTGAATTTGTTCGCTAAAGATGCTGATGCCGACAAGTGTTGACACTGGACATGTCAGCACATGTGGAAAACCTGCCTCTCATCCTACCAGGCCCCTCTAGCATGTCGCACAACACTTCACGGGCCCGATGTGGCGGAAGCCAACAGAGCTGCCATGACTATGACTTTCTCGCGATGCTTTGAGTTGAACCGGCAACACTACCAGCATGGGCACCACTATGATTAAGAGCACTCGCATGATTAACGACTGACTTTTATTGTCTTCCGATGATCGGAACTTCCGCGAAAGATTCCCCATAATCTTGAAAGGGCTTTGAGCTTTGAGTTCTTGGGAGCTCTTTCAAGCAATGAGAAGGCAAGCGGGGTGTGCACGTTGCTATTTCACTCCTGCTGATTAACCTGTACATTTACACCCAAATGCTAGTACTGTTGCGTTGGCATTCTGCAGCCAACATGTTCCGTCCGGTCGCAGCTTCGGCTCGCAGATTCAAGTTTTACTGGTTTTGGTGGGTTCGAAAGGATTTGAGGTTAAGGGTGATTTTGACACACTTTTTAGGCTTTTGTGTAGGCTTCGAGCCTCTTTGGCCCAATGCTAGATTTCAATTTCAGAGCGCTCCCTAAACCGTATTCCGAGCATAGATCCGTCCCTTTCTGAAGGAATCATGGCACGAAAACGGCTGTAGAGCTTCCAGGTAGTTTGCAGTGGTACGCAGAAGTTCCTTTGGGGCCCTTCTTTTGGCCACGAGCCCCAAAGGCTCCGAACCGTAAACAGGCTGCCGAGGGGTCTCATGCGCCGCACCCGCCATGGCACCGATGTGCAGGCCCTAGCTGTGGGCTTTCCGCGAGTCTGTTAACGATAGAACTCCCTCACAAAATCTACCATGATCAGGGCTAAGTTTTTTTTGCAGCTGGTTACGGGGCGGTCATCCAATCTGTAAAGCAGTAAAGTAAAGCCTTTGGAACTGGTAGCTATGTCTCTCATAGAACCCTGCAAAATGTCACCTGTTCCTCCTGATGCTCCTAAAGACCTTCATCATGAACGGCATCACCATCTTTTTGTCCATCGTCATCGCCACCAGCAGGAACATCGAGAATCCTGGAAAGATCTGCTTCCAGGTGTGCGCTGTTTGGAATCCTTCTGGCAGTGCCCTGCCTCGGCCAGCCAGCGGACGCGGACAATGCTTCCCCACACGTCGTGCCTGGTCTTAAGGGCTTCAGGGGCTGCTCCGTATAACGTTCCGCAGACTGGACTCGCGACCATCGTAAACGCGTGTGTTGGCCAAGATGTGCCCAGGATCGCTGCATGGTGCCGCACCCGAGCCACTTGAGCCGCACATCCGAGCTCTTTGGACGCGTCTGTAAAATATTCTGAAAGCATCTCTTTGGGGGATGCTTGAAGTTGCTTCCACAAAGTTTCAAACTCCGCCAAGGTTTTGATCAACTGGCCCAGATGGACACTGAAGTGTACGGCAATACAAGCTTGGCACCCGCATAAAAGCGTCAGGTTCGTGAACAAGACACCATGTTCCAGAGCAGTTTGCCATAGTTCCGGTCTGCCGCTCAGGAAATGAGAACTGGACCCTCGAGGGCGCCGAACTACAGTGCCTCGTCGTGCTTCGAAGCTCCACCTGATGGTCATTGCTGCAGTTCGTTGTTTCACTGCATGTCACGATGAGCGTCTGAGATTTGACCCTATGGATACAAGGGCCGATGGGCAGCCCCCAATCAAGCAGCTCCTCGACTAGTTTACAAGTATAAGTTGGCTTTTCAAAACCAAGAGCAGGTTGAAGCCTAAGCCCAACTCGAGAAGGTACAAGCTGAGACGGTTCTACGATGGAGTTGGCCCCCCTCCACTGGAGGACAGTTGAGGGTGCAAGCTTCAACAACATGAGATGTTGGGTTTCGGGAATGATGCGCTACGGCGATCCATTCATGTAGAGACATTGGATTGGTCTCACCCTTCTGCATCAATCCATAGCCCCCAATCTCTAGACATCCTCAGCTCAATAGCCCCTGAAGCCCTACACAAAGCCCTCAGCTCCTGATGCCGTGGAGCTGATGCTCTGCAGCCCGTGGCCTCAAACCCATACATCCTGAAACCCGAAACCCTCAATTCTAAATGACATCCGCCCCGCCGCTCTTGAGGCTGCGGTAAGTTGGGTTTTTCAGAAACCAAAGGTTAGAAAGTTTGGGTGTCCTAGACTCGAGGTGGAGGCGAACCGAACATGTAATGGAGCCCAGGAGACAGGTTTCCTTTTCGGGGAGTGATCTACATTTACATAGATTCGACACAATAGGATAATTCGATCTCGAGGTATCGGAAACTTGGCCAAAAGTAGACGCCTGAGTCCTGTATCGGGGCCTGACAAGGTAGTACCAACATCGCCTGGCTTTGCAATATCCGCCAAAACCCTCCTCCAATGATTGAGGCCTGTAAACCACAGTTGGGATCCGCGAGGAGGTGTTCCTCTCCACGCAGAACTTGACAGTGGAAGTTCAGGCGTGCAGGGGAGGAGTCTTCCGCGAAACGGGCTCTCCTGTTTCAGGAATCATGCCGCAGGGTCTATGTCTATGTTGTTTCGATATCGTTTCAGGTGGTGGGGTTGAGCCCTGCACGTCAAAACCTCCACCCAGAAATCAACTCTCAGAAAGAAACGAAGCTAAAACCTATAATTAACTATAATTTTTTGGGGGCTCCTTGATTCCTTTATAAGTACAGCATAATATGCCCTAAAACCCAATTCTAATTATTAAGGCTCCTATTTTACAAATCCGGCAGATATAGATCCCGACACCCCAATGCCAAGCAGTGCACAGTAAGGCGAGGATCGTAAACCCGATCAACCCAACATCCAACTCCTGAGGATGTCCGAACTCCGAACCCAAAATTGCAACCAAAAAAGACCCAAAATTGTTGCGTCCCTAAGTCCAAAACCATTTATCAATGAAGTCTTTGCTCCAGCTTCCAACAGCCCAGCTCCTTGGCAGGAAACCCTGATGGCTGAATGCCCTGGTCTGCTGATCAATGCGCCACTAGCTTGGACCCTTCGGAGAGTGAGAGTGGAAACGTGACGTACTGCAGTCCGTCTTGGTGACGGTAGTGGCCACGATGATTATGGGCATTAGTTTGGTTATGCTTGCAAGATCTCGCCATGGGGCTACCCAATTTAGCAACTCAGTAAGTAATCTCTTGCGCGAGTGCGAACCCCAAATGGAGACCCTTAGAGAGACCGCAAAGTCTCCAGTAGTGGCCGAGGTTTCTCGTTCTGGCTGAGACTCAGCTGCCCGTCTCTGATCGACGCTCGGGCGATGCCTTGGCCAAGGCACCGGGGGCGGAGTAGGATGAGTCTGACTGGGAGTGCGAGTGAGAAGTGGGCAGGGGCGGGTAGGGGTAGGGGTAGGGCTGGGGCAGAGTGAGGGAATAGGAGGCGGAGAGGACGAGGAGCAGGCAGGAGCAGGAGCAGTGTGCGGTAGCGGCAGGAGGTAGTGAGTTAGTGCTGAGTGGAAGCCCAACCTTGCAGGCAGATGTCCTTTCGTCCCGCCTATCTGCGGAGGAGCTGCAGGTGGGCCGACAGCAGCTTCGTCGAGTTAGACGGAAGCACTGCGTATTCAAGACAGAGTGTTCCTTTTTGACAGTTTCTGAACCCAATGACTACTGACCTGAGTCGTGAGGAGTTTGACTGGCAGATCTGCTTCTAATGAAACTTCCTAATCACGATCTTGTTCAGCAATGCTGTGTGTCATGTCAGGGCACCGGATAGCCTCAAGCCTATTGCGATGCTGCCACGCTACAAGCAAGTGTCTTCTACTGTTCTGCCAGATTGTGAGCCAGCTAAACAGTCTCGAAATTGTGCAAGCCCATGGCAAAGCTTGTACTAGTACACTGTGCCCTCGGCCCAACCTGGGACAAATGCGGCGCGCCTGGGCCAGGCAGAGTCAGAGGTGTGGCCTATCCAGGAGCCCAGCCAGGTTAAAGAGATACGATCGGTTGCTGTCTACGCCAGGGTGAGCCCTGAACACGATCGGAGGGCGTGGGCAGAAGCATGCGAAGCCGGACGCAGCTAAATCTATCCTGTTGCGAAGCCGTAACCCCGACAGCCACAAAGCATGAATGTCGACCCTGGAAAACCCAAGTGCTGATTGTACGATTGCCGGAACATCCCCATGAAGGCAGCACAGTTCGAAGGCCCTGGAGATCAACTGTCGGTCCTTAGCTTTGTTAGGATATTCATGAGCACCCAGGACCTAGGCAATGCAACCACTCTGATGCCTAAGATTCCGACACCCTCTGCCCAAAACAAGCCCTGAATCGCGACATACTCAATCACACGTCGTTGTCTCTGCAGGAAGCATTGGCAAGCTTTGCTCGAGCCTCGCAGCTGTGCTAACTTCAGCATTCTTCTTTTTGCGTCAGCCCCAACAGTTCCGAAGTCCCTAAACATTACCCCCTAAACTTCCTAAACCCTACAGACCCGGCAGGCAGCAAGTTCAGGCCACGCGCGCGGCGCTCCCAGAGCAGCCGAAGGCGCCTTGCTCGGAAGCAGAACGGGAACCTTCACGGGAGAGCGAGGCAAATACGGGGAAGCTGAGGGTGTTGGAGGGCTTTGAAGCTTTGGGGAGAAGGGTTTGCAATCTATACCATGTGACTTGGCGTGATGTAGCATGACATTACAGATAGCAGATGTTATCGATGGAGAAACAGATGTTCCCCTTCTGCATATTCTGCACATACTGACAGTACCACGGTAGGTGATGACCAAACAAATCAAGTATGTTACCATTACACACTTTCAGCCCCTTCTGAGCTCTCCAGCCCGGCACTCTCCTCGTCCTTTGACCCTGTGCTTTTTTAGAATAATGTAGGTGCCTGAATAGCTTCTGTATGACTCTTTGCTGTACCCCAGGTGCACCTCGTGGTTTGCCACTGCCGTGAATCCCTTGACTGGCTCAGCGGGCCTAGCTTCTACATGCCCAGATCCGGCATGGCAGTGTTGGAGGCCGAGGGTTGCGAGTATAAGCCAGGTTGCTGTACGGGCTCTCGACTTTGAGCAAGGATGCCGCACTTTCGGGCTCTGGGTGGGTGCGGCATTGGCCGGGGTTTTCGATGCTTGCCTCGCCTTCTCTCCAGCTGTCTCCCGTCATTTGGGACCTGTGGTGATTGTGACTTCTCTGGATCTTCAACACGTGTCTTCCCCTTTCTCTGCTTGGTCTCCCTTGATTTGGGACCGTTGGGGGTGTCCAATGCCAATTCCCGCGTGTTATGCTTGTCACCCATGGTCTATATGTCCACCCTTGCGTCCCTTCCTCTGAGACCGTGGGCCAAGCCAAATGCCGCAGAGAGTTTGAGAAAGAGGAGCATAGTGGAAAGGGACTAGAAAGAGTGAAGAGCAGAAGCAAACCGCCCGAAATAGATTACAGGTTTATTGGGATAAATGGGCAAGCCTCTCGTAAGAGATTAGAGAATCGAACGGGATTAGAAAACGGTGAGATTCATAAGCAAACCGCTCGAAAGAGACTAGAGCTTCATTGGGATACATGGGCAAGCCTCTCGTAAGAGACTAGAGAATTGAAAAATTGATAAAGACGAGCACACCAGTCGAAAGTGGATTCACCTCCCGGATTCAGATCTGCACTGGAAGCCGTCCCCTTGCATCCAACAAGCCTTCGTTGCCAGCAGCAACTGTAATTTCGTCATCCTGCTTCAGGTGTTCATCTACGAGAAGTGCAACTTTGACACAGACATCTCGGGCATCTCCTCCAGCTTCGCTGGTGTGCGCCGCGTTTTCGTGGACGACGAGGCGGCTAAAAAGCGTCCTGGGCTTGAGGGCTTTGGGCTTAGGAAAGTTTAGGGTTGAGGCTCGTAAAGGAGGTATCCATCTGTCTAGCTATCTGTCTTGTGTGTGAGAGTCAAGAACCGGTAGTTAGGATAGAGACAAGATCGAAAACGATATTAAGTGCCTTGGGAACCAGGACAGTTGGCGATTGAGGCCGAGGGGAGTTTCGGTGGGAGTTTGAGAGCCCTGAGACCCTCTCACAAATCCTCCCAAGGCGATCGTGAGCTAAGAATCCCGAAGTCCCACTCCCGTTTGCCCCCCAAAGCTATCTAGAACTTTCAACCTGTGCCGCTTACGGAGGGCTTGCGCCGGGATGAGTGCTCTGGATACCTGAAGCACCTGATCGAGCACTACAGGGTCGCTTGTAGCGCAAAGCCAGGCGAGCTACAGGTCGAGGGTTTAAAGCTTCAGTGCCTTGCAGGATGGAAAACTTCTTGGGATCTCTTCTGAACTTGAATTCCTGCTTTCCTGGGGCGCAAGGCCGAGTTTACAAAGTCTGCAGCCAGTGTATCTTGCGGCGGTAGTGAGGAAGGTTTTGCGGAACCCTGAACCTTCGTGCCTGGTTTCGTCCTGGACGACAAACTTGCATGGTGCATCAAGCGATCATGCCCATGGGCATCGCGGTGTGCAGTCTCTCAGTTTTGCAGGGCTCGAGTCATAAATTTCCTGTTTCTTGCCTGAAAGAAACTTGGCTACTAGTATGTGCAACAATCGAAGATCATGATGAGGAGGCAAAGGTTACCCCAGTGCCACAACCCCCACCACAGCAGCACCTGTGTAGGGCAACTGCAGTCCAGCACCCTGCCAAATGCGAGGACCCTGCAGACTACACATTGTTTTTCCAAGCGGATGCTGCTGACCACATGCACTGGGGCCCCTGGGCGAGCATCTGGAGCACCCGGCTTTCCGATGCGTAACGCGATTAGGGTTTATGTGACAGTTCTGAGCTTGGTAGTGCCAACTTAGGACTCCTAGAGTTAGTATGAGCTTATTGCAAAGGTTGTCCTCAGCATCATCGCTCAAGGCCATAACCCGACAACCCGCCACGTCATGCCTGTCTTCCGGCCTCGGGCGTTAGAATGAGGAGCAGGAGCTTGAGATGTCCACATTGGGATCCTTGGGGTTCAGTCGCCTGGAGAATTCGCGTTTCCGAGACTCTCGAGGCTACCTTTCCTTGGTCATGAAGGCTCTCGAGCAGAGGTCGCTTGCGTGCCTGCGCTGCAACACTAGTCAGCGCTGGAAGGTTTCTGCCTGCGAAGGCATCATGATATCTGTGTTAGTCGAGCAAGGGCTCAACCATTGGGCCAAAACCACTATCCTGGCCCTTAATCTTCGACCCGCTGCCTAGGACTTCGTTCGTTCACCTCAATTACCCGCGGCTGATCACTTCCATGTCCCCGTGCCGAGCCGAAGCAGCACGGCTGAAAGCGATCGTTGCCTGTTTGAGCTTCAGGATCCCCGGTTTCTCAAACAAATCAACGAGTCATCATGACGCCGTTTTGACATACGGGTACAGGGAATTGCCGCTTACGCTGCTCAGGTCTTGCACAGGGCTTTTGGGCCTCGAGGTATCTCCAGGCACCAAGGAAGACAAGACTCCACTGACCAGGTGTTTGCTCAGATTTTCGATCGTCCTCCGAAGCAGAGCCTCGTCTTATCTTGAAGGGTTATTAGCCGGGCATGTGATGCCGTGACTAGTGGTAGATGTAGACTTCCCGGCAGCGCATAACAATGCCAAGTGTGACCTGTGGTCGCTGTTGACCAGTGCTTGGGGTTTTCATTTTGTGTCTCTTGCGCATCGCGAATGGCCAGGGACCCTTAATGGGGACCCCTACCCTATAATGGGCTAATTATATAATGGCTATATAATCCGCTATATAATTGGTATATAATGGCTATCATAGCATCAAAAGCCCGGCATGAATCCTCCACAGAACGCATCTTCCCCGGAGAAGGCGCTGGCGTTTTCCATCCCTGGCTGGAGTGCGAGAGTTGTTCAGGGCAAGCGTCAAGACTACTGCAGAATGTTCCATGCGGGAATCACAAAAACACCATAACCTTCATAGTAGTAGTTGTAGTAGTAGTAGTAGTAGTAGTAGCAGCAGTAGCAGTAGTAGCTGTTGACTCGGAGGAGAAGGGAGGAGGAGGAGGAGGAGGAGTAGCAGAAGCCGTAGTAGTGCTCCTCCTCCTCCTCGTCCTCCTCCTCCTCCTCCTCCTTGGCTTCCCCCTCTTGTGCGTAGCAGTACATTGAAATCATTGAGTCGCCACAGCCGTCGTCGCAACAGTGAGAAGAGGGCACACGCGCATGGTTTGAGTCGTGGAACTTTTGTCGGGTTTATGCACCATACACCGAAAGCACTAAGCCCTCTACCAAATCCCCAATGCGTTGCCGAGGAAACTGGGTTCCTATTGCTGTGCGCAGTTTCTGGTTTCGCGGGAGCGCATCCAAGCGAATCCTCTGGAGAGGCGTTTGAAAGTTTCGGCTTCGGGGACTTGGGCCCTGCACTCTGGACTTGAAGAGCGGAAGTGTGGGTGTTTTGTTGCGGTCTCCGCTTGGTTCACAGGGGCCCATACAGTGTACAGGCCGAGAACTTGGTTTCGGATCATGGCCAGAAGTTGAGTTCCCGCAGACAAGGCTCGAAAATCAAAGACACCAGTCCTTTCAGAAGTCCGCGGGTTCAAAGCTCACACCCACTCTCTCCATCCTGCAGCCCTGAGACTCGAAGACCTCAAGCTCGGTGCACAAGATGACGCGAGCAGGTATGTGCGAATGCAGCAGATGCTGTTCAGTGATTCGCCACCCGAGTGCCTCCGGTGGAAAGGGGCTGGGCAGAGTGATGGGTTTTCTTATCTGCTGCTTGTGCTTCAGGATTGATGTTGGAGGTGGGACTCGTCCTCCTGCTGCTGTTCGAAACTACGACTCCACAGTAAATATAGGCCGCCGACAGCCAAACCACAACCATCAGCATCGCTACCGGATCAATTACCGCCATCACAGCCGCAATCAGGAGTGGACCACTTAAAGTAGCAGTCGCGACTAGGGTTAAGGCTCATGGCTTACGAGCTAAAGCCCAAATGTTGAGTCTGATAGTGTGTCGAGAGGCTTAGCTGGATGAAGCCAGGTTCCCTTAAGCTAGTGGACACCAAATAGTGTATGTTACCTTCGGCATGCATTCCAGCTGCTCCCGACGTTGTTTCTCCATGTTTCTCCTGGATTGTTGGCCTTGCAGCAGAAACGATGGCCGCATCTTGCATCTTTCGCACCGCCGACCGGTTGCAGCGCTACCTGGCGGTCACAGGAGTTGCGTGTTCTGGCGCATGACAAAGCGCTAATCTGCCTAAGGGTCCCCTTGGAGGAAGACAGACAACACGGGCAGGTAGCCGGTGTCCCATGTGGGTAGGCGTTCGGACGCTACTGGTAGGAAAGACCTCTTTGCTTCAAAGTGATGTGAACATGAGTGCTTCGTGTGTGAGCCCTACCCAGGGGAGACAAGAGCCGCATCTTGCCTCCCACACACCATTGGCCGGGTGTGGGGCTGCCTTGCTGTCAAAGTTGCTGGATGCCTTTCTGGCCAACGCGCATGCGGTCTAGGCGCATGACAGCGGAGCAATGTGCCAAAGCGTCCGCTGGGGGCAGACGGACAGCGCGTGCAGGTCGCAGCTGTCCCATGTGGATAAGCGTTTGCATGCGTTTGGCATGGCTGGAAGGGGAGGCCACTCGTCTTGACATACGACACCGTTTCGTCGCATGATGTCATTGTACGTTGGATCGCGGCATCGGCTGAGACAGCTGTTCTGCCGAATGGATCTGCTTTAGATGGTTCTTGCTGTAGACATAGTGTTGGGAACGTCTACCGGGGGTGCCGAGTGGCCACAACACACCACGGGGTGGTGTCTGGGTGCTTTGCCGTGACAGTTGCCTTCCGACGCATTCGCGCCTCAGAGCAGTTGGCATTGTCACGCCAATGCGCATGTCAAGGGTTTCATGTTATGGTGCATTCGTTAGCTAGCAAAGAAGGACCCCGTCGCATACCGTGGCGAAGGCCTGGCCGACTTTGGGCCGGACATGAACATGCCCAGCATCCTATGCCCGTACCATATGATATGTAGAAACTGTTCACGATACGCTGGCTGACGACCCCAAACGTCATACAGCAGTGGCAGTCAGAAGGGCATACAGACCGACAACCGTTCCCATTATATGCCTCACGTAGAGTTAAGGTGCTGTACGTAATGAGCTCCTCAACCCAAGGTGGGGTAACGTTAAGAAAACCCTACGCCCCAAACCCCCTTCTTGCAGCTCTTCAGTCCAACCTGAGCTCGGTGAGGTGCCACGACATCCCTGGACACTCCACCCTGCGCCTGGGATTGTGACACCGTGGATGTTGTCGGATGTTAAGAGCTCGTTGATCGGACTTGGGATCTAGGTGGGGTCTAATGAATCAATGTCGGGTGGCCTTTGCTGTTGCTGCGAGCTGCGGACATCATTTCCGGCACGCGTGGGGGTGGAGGCTTTTATCTGGCTTGGCATCACAGGGTGCTCGGAGCTCTCAGGGACCGAAACAATGCGCAGAACAGATGCGTGGTAGAGTCGTGCGACTGATGGAAGCCCATCGCTCTCGTCTAGATGTGCCTCACAACTACTCGTGCCGAGCTCCCCATCATTCCCGCAGCAGCACAAGCTGCATGTATGCTGCAATTCTTTGAGATCCACCTTACTGTAGCTTGTTGTGAAAGGCACGAGCCATGACCCTTAACCGTCCAACTCAGAGTCTGAACCCTAAACCATCAAGTCGCATCCCAAGCTTCCTCCAACTGAGGTGCCTCATGTTCGAGGCGCTGCTCCCCTGTGGAACATCCTTGTTTCATGCCGTCGTTTATCGTAAGCCCAGATCCCGAAGCTTTTCGATGACAGAAGTTCACTCTCACACAACGAGTCGCAAGTACGTTTTTGCTATGGGGAGCTGGATGAAGTTCGGCCCAGGCCCTATTCATCTTCATTTGAAGGAGTTCTTTGGGTTGACACTGTTTGTTTGCCTTATCTCGACAGGGTTGTAAAGTGGCAAAAAAGCTCTCCTGCCTCCTGCGTCCTTGCAGGTGTATTGGCATGTCCTGTTCGGGGAGGAGGATGTTTTGCCCTACCGGTCTGAGAATGCTGCCCTGCAGTGGCTCTGCTGCACCGAAGAAGATGCGAAAGGGAGAGAGAGCGAGAGAGCGGCATAGAGGATTGCCTAACAAGTTTCGAGTTTCCTTAAGCCCCAAAGACGGGAACGAAACCAGAATAGCAATCAAGTTCCGTCGTGACAAAGAACAAAGTATATATAGATCAAGTTCACGCGGGCGGCCAACGAATCTAACTGATGCATGGTGAACAAAAATCGGTTCGTCATCAAGCCAATGCTCCCATCAGACTCTCTATCTGTTCGAGGTCTGAATGTAAATAAGATGTGTAAATACAGAATTCTCACATGATTGGAGATTCACTTCGCATCGCCCAAGTTTGTAACCCGACGGTAGTCAACGGAGGCCACGCCACATCCCTATTGATCCGGTACCTTACACCCTAAGGTTCCAAGGCCCTCCACTTTCTTGGCAGATCAGGCCCAAGCCCTGACAGACGGTTGATGTGAAGGAGCCTGACAGGGCTTTTAAGCAAAGCGATCTGGTGGAGTGAGTTCTTTTCAGGACAGGGCCCAGTCCAAAAAAACAATTTTCAAAACAAGACAACTTCCAAGCGCTCGCTCAGCGCTGACGGTGCGAGTCGGTGTGATGTCAATCGTGCGTGGTCTGTGAGGTTTGTGTTGTCTGATTTTGGCAGAGAGCCCATTAAAGAAATCCAACTAGTTACTGTTTGGATGGTTTACAGATGATCGAGGCTGGTACAAGAATATAGAAGTTAAAACAAGCCAGCCACCTCCTCGGAAACCATTCACTCCACCAAAAACTCTATTGAACCTCTGGTGAGTGTAATACGACAATAAGACCATTGTCTCCCAACAAAACTACAGATTTGATGTTGTGATCTTGCATTAGCTTTTCGTTTTACATCCATTGGTTGTTAGATGTTGTTATTCGTCTTGGCTCCTGAGTTAACACCCAAGATTCGCTTTTGCATTGACAAACATGTGTGCTTTCGAATCTGGAATTTCCCTTTGATTGCATGGCGGGCTTGTGATTGTAGAATTCCAGGATAGCAAAGTCAACAGCTTTTTCTGGTAGCAAGAGGTTTCTTTGGCATTGACAGCCAAGTTTCGATCGACGTTCAATCGGTGGTCGTATCATGTTGATTTCGTGCCATCCCCATTTTCGATTCAACAGCCAGACTGTTGTGAACGACCAATGCTAATTGCTGCATAGGTGTTTGCCTTGATCCTAAGGAGTCACCTATGAATTATCAGGAGGTTTGAAACCCGTGTGCTTCCAAGCACGGGGCTTCAAGTTGCCAAGTCCAACCGTCAGGGAGGCCCCCACGCGCTGAGGAAGGGACGGAGGGAACGTTGTTGCTGCCGAAAAACCGGACTACTGAGGCTGTTTTTGAGGATCCGCGATCTTGAGAACGAGTCGAGCCTTGCCATGAATTCAGAGCCGCAAAACAGGATCATGCCACCAGAAATGACAGCGATAAAAGTGTTACCAAGAAGCAGTAGGAGAAGTACCAGAATCAGAATAGCCATGTAAACACGAGGATGACGAGGAGGTGTCGCCGGCAGAGCAGCAGCTCTCAGGCGGTAGGAGTCAGCTTTGCTACTTGCTGAAACCCTTGCAGGGTTTTGTCCCAGTGCATGATTTTGCAACCTGAAAAGCCTCCACCTCAGTAATTCTCCGAACCTGAGATTGGGAAGACAATGCTACAACTCCAAGACCCCAGATAACATGCCAAATGACGTCGAATTTGTATCCGCGTCGTCGCGGTGTCCTAGAGTCGTTGACTTCGACAACCTTATGAACCCACCGGCACATGTTGGCGACAGCCCTTCTCGGAGGTATCTGCCACCGGGCTCAGTGTATCTGAAGCTCGTCTCCGAGCGGACATGAAATGTGCGCGTGAAAAAAGCCAAAAGCTTTCAGGGCTGCGGGTGCAAGGGGTTTAAGCCCCAGCATGTCAAGCAATAGGAGTTCGTATTGTTCATTCCGACTTCCAGACATGCAGCTCACCACTCATTCTGAGGCAGTGGGCATGCGCATGATAGGTTCAATATTGTCATCAGCATCCTTACTGGTATACTGTGTGGCTAATGTCCTCTTGACATCGACCCATACCGCAAGAGATAAATTACTTCAAGGATGTGTCTCAACGGTACATTGCATGGTTCCCGAAGTTCAAAGCCTTGCGCTAAATCTGAAGCCACAACCGCACGTAAAAGCTGTTCTGGCAGATCTCGATATGGTATGTAGTATGTCCACTGGTTCAGCCAAAATAGCTGACCAGCGGACGAAGCAGCAAAGCAGCCTGTCACCGTAAGTCATGCAGCATGAGTTTCGGAACGCGCAGTTTGCAGGGTTCGGGTTTCTCCTTGCGCAATGCAAGCGGCAGGCATGGAGCTTGTAGACTCGCAGCACGAGGCTTTCGGGATCGGGTCCTGGGCTTTGGGGGGACGTAGGGCCCTCTTGTGAGGATTCGGATTCAGAGAGCTCTCCTGACCGTAAGCAAGTCTTACAGTACATGATGGACCATGTCCTTGGCTTCTGGATTTTGGCTTCGGACTTCGCAGGTCGATTGTTCCGATCTACAAAACTCAGGATTGAAGATGCGGGTGCAAACCCAAATCTTTCTGCGGCTTATCGTCACCTCGTGTCTGTTCAGGAGGCTTTGGGATAAGGGTCCAGGGCTGAGAATGTGTAGGGCTTTAATTCTTCACTGCAAACTTTCGACAGTGACGAACGTCGCCAGACCCTGATGTCGCCAGCGCTCCTATGACAAAAGAAAGCCCGAAGCCTTCCACCGCAGAACCTCCAAACCCCGAAACCCATTAACCCATTCAGACGAAAGCCGTAGCCCTGAAACCAGAAACCCCCTGACAAACACTACGGAAATCCAGGAACCCTCAGAACCTTCAGCCCTTCGAGCCTACATGCGTCCTAAAATCACGACAACTTCAAGAAGAACGAGGCCGCCGAAGTCCCGGCGGCCTTCCGCTGCCTTTGTGGAAGACCCTTCCGCCTCTCGAGGCCTCCTTAGTCCTTCTCGCCTTCTAAGGGTTTAGGGTGGAGGGGTCGCGTTTTTTTCGGGGTGCTTGGGTTCTTTGGGCGGAGGGGTCGGCTTTTTTCTTGGGGGCAGCAGGTGTGGGCAACAGGGCCTTTAGGTCGGCAATGTGGCGCTCGAGGGACCGAGGGACTTGGATTTCTTGGGTTCAAGCTCGAGACGAATTCTTCAATCGCTTCTGAGTTGCGCTTGTGACTTGTGGCTTGGTAGCGTGCATTGATGTTGGGTTGTCAGGACCCCGGAGCCTGACCCCGGACTGTCGCACCAAGTCCGCAAGCATGCGAACCTGGTCAACCGTGCGCTCCGTCACCTCGCCTGCCGCCCCTGTTGTCACTCGGTGAAGCTTCGATAGATCGAGCACATGACAAAGGCAGGCCAAGGCCATGTCGACGGTTTTGGTTTTCCGACCCGGTGATGGTATCACCATCACCCCACCTTCGCAGCCGACCATCACCACGGAGCAACAGCAGCTTCAGCAACTCATCTTAAGCACAGAAGAAGAAGCCGGCCTCGGCTTGGCCCATAGCATGGCACATTCAGAGACACAACACTCCCCCGGACCACCCGAAATACACGAAGCAGAGTCTTTGCAATCTGCCCCTGCCCTTCGAGCTCCCTTCTGCGATGGAGCTCGGCTCTTAGCTTTTCTGTGGATTCGCCTGTTTCTGCTTCAGAACGGCTTGTTTCAGGGAGCATGAAGCCCAGAAGCAGTTGGGGCTGTTTCGTTGATGCTGGTGTCAGGAGCTCCTGTTCAAGACTGCACCTAAACACGAAGTCTAAGTCTAAGTGGCTCAGTGGCGCAGACCAGGACTAGACAGAAAACCCCAAACTGCCCAAGGCTTGGGGCTCCTTCAGATGGCGTCCTACCACAACTGAACGAAGACAGCGGATGACAAGCTGAAGCTGTAGCAAGGACATCTCCAAAATTCGAAGCCTCAGACCCTGAGCGTGCACACTTCTGGGGTCGAGCTGCCCTCCTGGCCGTCAAGCCTTGAGCATTTCAGGTTCGGGTTTCAGCCACGAAGTGCATCGAAACGCTTAGAACCCCAGGAATGCTGAAAGCAGCCTAGAGTCCAAGAATTCTCTTCTCAAACGCGACTTGAAAGTTGAAGCGATTCGATCACCCGTTTTCCAGCTCAAAAGCGCACAAGGTAGGCAGGATACATGATGT